ATAAAACTATAAAATTAGTGATTTATTTCACAAAAATTTGTAACTATGATATAATTCTTAATTGAGTAAAATAATAATAATATGTAATTCATTTTCTAACCTCTGCTGTCATGTGCATTAACAGCACAGCTGCCACTGGAGCCATTGCCTGCCAAAAAACACATTCACATTCATTCATTTGCAAACTATCGGGAATTAGGTGTGCAAGCAAGCCTCTAGCTGGCATTCAGAGTATCAAACAGGCAAAGATTTACTCACAAATCATGCCATACTGACTTGAAAATTCAAATGAAAATCTTGCCCCACTACCCAACCGGACTTCCCCAATACATTCAGATCCTTGGCATTAATTTTCAACAGAACTTTCCGACAGATATGATGCTTAAAACAATATGCAAAAGCACAGAAAAGTAGGAAACAGAGGAGCTAAATTATTTTTGCCTTAATTTATTCATCACAAAAAGGGTCTACAATAATTAATTTTACAATAATTATTTTATGTTATACATAATTATTTTATTAGCAGATCTAATGACTTAAGAGGAAATTTGATCAAAGATACTAGATGAGAAGATGTACATGTGTTCTGCCTATAACACAACCACGCAAAGAAACGTTGCTGTTGTATCTCTTTTATACGCGTACATGTGATATGTACCTGGCAGTATCCTGTTTTTGGATCATAAATTGCATATGCCTTCAAGATGTTAAATAAATCCCTCTGCCTGAAAAAAATAATAACATTACACATGAATTTTTAATTTCAGTTTTCAGTTATTAAAGTTTTCATTTTTTCACGAACTGGGGACAACATGATAATAATCAGAGCTCAAAATAACAGTTAGTCATGCCCAATGTCTAACTGAATCCTTCCTTAGGGGGTGTCATGATCGAACAAAAGTACTTGAAAAATAATTGAAGTCAACAAAATAATCACATACATGTTTTTTCAGACTAAAATAGTGTCCTGTTTGAACATGATAAAGCCCTTTCTAAAATGAAGAGGTATTTGCACACCTGTAAAATGAACCTGTGTTAAACAGACATCTCTACTAAGCTAACACTACCGTAGCAAAAACTGGGGGTGTGAGGTTAACAAACATTGCACTATACCAAGAACTGGCTAAAATCATCTTGCCACAACTATGTCCTATATAATCTGATATCTACATCTCTCTCCCCTTAATCTGTAATAAAGCCGATTATTTTTTTTGGTCTTTTACATACATGTACACTAAGTTTGTGCCAGTTATCAGGAGGTGAGGAAAGTCAGTTTTACAGCTTGCAATTTGGGCAAGCTGTAGCTAGCATATACTTGTCCAACAGTCATTTTAACTGGCCCAAAAACAAAAATGTGATGAGCAGGATTGATTAAAAATTCTTCTGTTATTTGAATCTCCCAAAAACTTTACTTGCTCAATGGCCACGTTAAGAACAGAATTCACTAGCCTGACATCAATATCCACTAGCCCCAGGCTAACAGACACTACTTTCTTTACATGCTGGATATTCAACTTACCCTGGTCCATCTGGTTCACAAAACATCTGATGGAATGGAAATGTCCTACTTAAATCCTTGCTAATATCCTTCTCCCACTCTGAATGACTCTGCAAAAGTGACTGCAAAACAAAAATGAACATGACATTCAGGGAGAGATTTAAAAAGAGAGGGAAAGGGGAGGGGGATCTCTCGCCAAGACAAAGTCTCTTGTGCCTAGGAACTGTGTGCCTTAGAGCTTTGGTCTACCAATAAGGGGGGAGGGGAGGAGAGGGACCTACTGGGCCCACTTACAGTACTGAGCCCAGTTGTTTGAAGGCCGATTGACACTAACCCGGGATTAAATTTTAATCTGTGTTCCTTTTTCTCTTGTTCAAAAGCTTTTTCTGGGAAAAAAATTCTTTATTCCTTTTTTAGAGCATCCAATCATCAAATTTTAAATAAAAAGAATTAAACTGAAATTGCTTTTAAAGCTTTTATTTCTGAATTTAAAATTTTGCACTAACCCTGGGTTATCTTAACCCAGCTTTGAACAACCTAGCCCTGGTATCAAAGTCAAGTTTTCCTTATATTTTGAGTTTCACTTTTTCCATTATTTATTTTAGAGTATAGCAGATAAAAAATACAAAATAATAAGAAAAATGGAGAAATGGGTAAGATATGGTACAACTAATTAAATACACCCTTTCAATATAAGATTACATTTTTATTTAGGATAAAAGAGAAAATATAAGGAAGCAGAATGGGCAAACACACTCCCGTACACCACCAGCATTGACTGAGAGATAAACTTCTCTCTAGAATGATTAATTCTATTGTATGAATAGTTTAAAATAAAGAAAGATTTTTTTATTCCATTTTATTTTAAGTTATCTTAAGAATTAATTAACGAAATCAAAAATTAGTCATGAATAGCTTTTGCAATAATGTATTTGCTATAGTCATGCAAATAATCCTTGTCATTGTTGTTGTTGACATTGATTCTATCGTAACAGACCCCACTTTTTAAGATATAGAAATCTATGAAATGTGAGTGTGTTAATCTAACATGGTTCACCGTAACTGATTAATATAGCATAAGCTACAATCAGTTGCAAAATAAAATGAGTGCTCATATAATAGAGATTTTCCAACAAAGCAATGTTTTATTCAACGTACATCAACAGTCTACAGGGTCTGCCATGGTCTACCTTCATGACTGTTGCAATTGTAGACAGTGGTACCGGTGTTATGGTTGACTGTCAGAAAGTTAACATTAACATACATGTAATACAGAACTATGTCTGCTCTCTAGCTCTCACTGACTTCAACAACCATCTCATTTTTACAGCAGTAAATGAAAAAAGCTAAACCGTTTATTTTTAACAGCCACCCTTAACATTAAGTCACGTCTTAACCATAGTATTTATTGCTATGTACCAAGAAAAGAAAATTATGCTGTGGTTATAGTCATTCACATAATTTTTAGAATTCAATTAAAGTATGTAGCAATGTCACAACAGATAATACCACGACTGCATTATAACAAAACACAGGGAACAAAGTTTCAATCAACAAGCCAATTCTTATTACCCTGCCATCAAGTTTACTGCTGAAATTTCACAAACTGAAATAACGTTCTTGTATACAACAGTCTATAAAAGAAAGCAATTTGCTAAACAATCTTACCTCAAACAATCCACCATGTTTATTCATTAGGATTACACTTCCTGATAACTTCTGCCAGGCTCTTCCACGAACAGAGGATGGAATACCTTTACGGCATCTTTCCTTGACCTGTAATTGCAAAAGGGATTCCGCTTTCAATGGTCCCTCATTGAAAAGTTGCTAGCTGTCTATTAAAGTAGTTATGAGAGCAATAAAAGTCTATGCTAGTCAAAAAAGGTCAGCATGGGGTTCTGTACCGGTTGGTGAATTTTATCTATCTAACCAAGGTCTTTGTCAGGTTGTCATCTGTGCTTTAAAATGGTCAGTTTTTGGAAAAAATTAATACTAAGACTTATTTGCAACCTAGTTTTAGAACCGCTGACTTATGAGTTTTGTGGCTTTATACTATTACATGAGAAATTTCTGCCATTTGATTGGCTTAGAGTAATGATATTTCAGCTTAATTTGACATACCTACATGTGAAAATTACAAACCTTTTGCGGGTAGTAGTATAAACAAATAATAGCATGATTTGTACGCGATATATGGCATGAATACCACTTGTGATATTTCAAAATTGACTCAAATACATGTATCACTCGCCTAACGGCTCGTGAAATTACGTATAACAATTTTGAAATATCACTCGTGGTATTTATGCCAAATATCACTACAATATGCAATATTCTTGCACCGAAGAATTATTAATAACTTCACTACTATGATCTCAAATGAGACTGCTTAAAAAAATCAATGCTTCAAAACAGTAATTTAAATTGATGGTCTATTCATTAGTTCACTTAAATTCCTTTTTTTATTTAAAAGTTCTGCCAAATTAGGCATTGAAACACAGAGTAAACTTCGCTAAGAGATCCAGAACAAAAGGAAATACTACTAATGGTAATAATAATAACAAAGTACAGGTACATGTAGAAACATTAGAAAGACATTCAGCAATAACAAACAGAATAGGGAAAAACACTGATAAAAGAATCAACAACACATTCAATCAAGCAAGCTGGTCAATGGCTGACTAGTGGGGCACTTATAGCTTTGGCGGGTGTCAACATCATAAACAATGTTTGCGAGATAGAAGTTGTAAGTGACCCTCGTTAATTAATGAATTAACTTTTTCACTCCTACATGTAATGGTGACCAAAGAAAAAGTTTACAAAAAAACCAATATTTTTGTTTTTTCCAATCCTACGAAATAAAGAGTCTTATGTTATGCAGTCCGATCAATGAGGTTTCATTTGAATGGTAACACCAAAGGAAAGGTTAGAGAAACAATCTTGCCATAGAATACATATAGTGAAAAGGTTATAAAGGGTAAGGGATATAGACCCTGGATGTGGTACGCTATAATGGGTTGAAAGGGTATTAAGTTGACGTCAACTGGGATACAGCCCCAAGTGTTTCATCCCCTGCTACTGTTAATTGACCATGTTGAAAGAATTATTACATTGTTAAGTTAATACAGTGAAACCATGTTAATACGGTCACCAATGGGTAAAAAAAAATGGCCGTATTAACGGGGTGGCTGTATTATAGGGGCAAGCTCAAATTTCATTACTTAAGGGCTGTAATGACCAATAGACGGTACAGCATCGCATTCGCATTTTTTGAACGATTGTTCGCATTAATAAACAATTGGAATGTAGATATTGCCTACAGTGATTTAAAAAACATATAAAATTTTCCTTCAGTACATGAAACTCTTAAAATTTGGCTATAAATCGCCACAAGTGCACTTTAAGTGTACTGTAGCCTAAAAACAGCACAAGAAAAAGCTCAGATTTCTAGGTCAATAAGATTGACATGTCACAGGCATTTTAATTTTCTACATTTCAAATGATTGGCTGTATTAACAGGGTGAAATTATAAGAAATTCTACTGTAATTTTGGGATATCAACATGTAGCCATTGGCCGTATTATTGGGTGACTGCATTAACGCAGGTTTTTTTTTATAATGAAGTGTAATGGCCATTTTGCAGGGATGAAAAAAACTGGCCATAATAACGAGGTGACCATATTACCGAGGTGGCCATAAGGCAGGGTTCCACTGTTATATTACATTCAAATCTCAGTACTACAACAATTGAGTTTATTGGTTATAGTACAAATAATTTTACTTATCAAGGTTTCTCTTGACTTAAATGTGATGATGTCACATCCTGTCACATTCTAATCCAAGAGAAAGCCCATACCTGAAAATACATTACCTGGATAGAGGAACTAAATAATTCTTAATTCAAGAGTATAAAGCTTTTGAAACATCATTCAGAATCTCTGAATCATTCTTTGATGTCATCAGACTAATAATAATAGTAAGATAGTGTTCTATGCTTAATCTACTCTCTACTTTACAGAGGATCCTCGATATAAGAAAGGGGAAAGGGACTGGCAAAAATTTTTTCACTATAACAAGGTTCTTTTGTTCTATATTGAAGTTGTTTTTCAAATATTTTACTTCACTTAGGGTACAGAAAATTTTACGTTATAACAACAAGTTCATTATAAATTATAGGAGTTCATTATATCAAGGTTCCACTGTAATACATGTAAGTGGGGAAATGTATAATTTTGTCTACTTCTTCTCTTCTCTTGCTGCATATTGTAATCATCTAGAAATCCCACATACATGTACATGTACACCTGTGTACTGTAATGCCCTAACATTCTTCACCTTTGTCTTACATTTACTGCCAAAACCAACCTTTGGGTATTTCTTTGTCATCCATTTATCCCAGTTTTGAAACATCTCCACCCATTTTAACTCCCGATGCCTGAAAACATCTACAGCAACTGCCTGTTTTGATGCCCTGTGAAAAAATATGGAAAATAATAATTATCATGTAGTTACATTGGTACATTTAATGTGGCTTGTGGTTTCCTGCCTTTTCAACAGCTTACATATCAAAGAATAAAATAATACCAATCACGCTTTTTTTGTTTCACCTCAAAAATAACTATCAAACAAAAAATCTGCTGTTATTAGATGATAAGTTATAGTGAATGGCAATATTGTTTAGATACAACATTGTGAGAGGTTATAACAGCTAACAAAACAATTAAAAGCAATTATCTTAACTTGAGCTTTATGTGCAGTGCCATTTTCATCCTTGATGCATTGAGGCCATTTGTTATTGTTTAAAATGCTTCTAAAAACTGATAGTCAAGGCCCGGCAGTAAAAGTTTTTCCTAAATCAGTAGTTTTTAATAATTTCTCCCAGCATCATGCAGTGACGGAGTGAGGCAATCATGGAAGAACGTTGAACATTCGCTTCTAGGCCAAAAACATTGATAAATCAATTTAGGATCCTGAGATCTTGCATTATTTCAGTACAACTTCAGATCTGCAGTGAAACAAGCAGCGTCAAGTTTGATTTATGATTATTTCAGAAGTCAGATTTCATATTGTCTCTCACAAAACCATTTGCTACCAGTAAATTTATTTGACCACAAACACAGCTTACTTTTGATCAGCTCCATTTCTCTTCTAAACAAGGACAACAAAAGTTTAACTGTCACAAGAATAGCCAATCAAAATAACTATCTGGTTAATGATTAAACTAACTTCAACTTGTAGATCCTGAGAAATGACATAAATCCAGAGAATTGTATAAGTCACTACAAATTACTTCAGGCAGAGCTTGATACTTTTAGCGGGAGAATGATGAAACATGACTCACTAAATATAAATATATAACCTCCACCGACTTTTAAAACATTTGGCCTCGAACTTCAAGCCTTGTTTATCGTACAGTCTAATACCGATTCTTGTGAACACCTTGAGGAGAAAATAGCCAAAAATATTCTGCATTATACATGTATTAAAACCATTATTTTTATCTCACATGCAAAAGTCACTGAAGCTAGTCGTTTGCAAATATTTAAAGTTTATTGTAGTCAGTAAATCAAGATTTCTACCAATAAAACAGATGTAAGTGTCGTGACAAGGGTTCAAGCTTAAACCATGTAAAAGTGGAGAATTGTAGAGCTTCGATTTTAAAGTAATAAATTTCATTGCCAGTCACCTTTTTAGTCAACAAACAAAATGCAGAGAATCACCAGTTTGATCAACATACTTTTTGTTTCCAAAAGGGATCACATAACACTGGTTCTGTTCAAGCTCCATTGGTTACCGATTAAAGAATGAATTGTGTATAAGATACTGTTGCTAACATACAAGGCACTGAATGGATTAGCACCACCATGTATATTACTGACCTTTTAGACATTTATATACCTCAGTGTAATCTTAGATCCTTAACCGATAAGAAATTAAAAATACCACATTATAATTTATGTTCGTATGGTTATAGATCATTTTTGGTATCTGCGCCATCTTTTTGGAACTCTTTACCAAAGGATATACAATTACGTGAGACTTAAGATTGTTTTAAAGAACAGTTGAAGACCTATCTTTTTCAACAGGCATATGCCGATCTTTTATAGTTATTAATAGTACTTCAATATTTAGAATAAGAACTTCTATTTTTCATGCTAGTGAAAAACTTGTAAATCTTGTCCAAGGTTTTATAATTTTCTTAATGTCACAGTTTCTTTAGCTACACTTTAAAAATTAACGTGTAATAAAACACGACAACAAAACATATGGTGTAATGGGGGGAACACCGCTCCATGATCGGCGTGGTGGACGACTTCCATAACGTGACCCTAAAGCCCTAGTTATCTCCCGGCGCTAATTTACGTGTGATGGATCAGACAAGTTCAGGTAGGTCCAAAGGAAACAAACTTAATACGGCCTACCACTCCATGGCACTATGAGCTGAAACCTCTGGCCAGCATCGTGCAACTTAATGGAAGAGTATAGGCAAATATTTTGTTCTAGGAACTTTATCTTATCAGCACTACAAGCTGACTCCGGCAGCATGTGCTGGAATACAATCAAATATAAAAGTTTGCATTAAAATCAAAGCTCAGGGAAGTCGCCGTGAGACTTAAACCAAAGGCAAAAGAAAGCAGTGAGCCTGTGTTTATTAGGAACAACAACAAAGCCTCCAAAGGGAGGGAATGGTGGGAATTACAAAACTTTAGGATGGTTGAAGTATTCCAACTTAGCAATACAGCTCGGAATGAGACACAGGACTTTTACTAGGCCTTTTATGGTCCGAATGCTATCCCGAGGAAAGCCAATTAAAAATACTGTACTACTGAACAGTACGTGCATCACGAGATGGCCATGAGGAAAATCTTTTTCACTAGCCATACAAAACGAGCAATACATTAGAAACTAGCCCCAACTGCAACAAAAACAAGGATTGCTATTGTATCAGTAATTTTCCAGCTATAAAAGTGATTTTACGTACTACCCAGTACTTTTACCCACTACGAGTAAAATTCTATGAGATTTGATAAGGACTATAGCATAACACTGCCTTACATGTTGCTGATTGAGGGCATCACGCTCCATTAACTGTGTTTTACAATTGAGTTGTAAAACTTTCTTTTACTATGAACACTGTGAAGCGGTTTTGAGCATTTATGGAAAAAGCACTACATAAATGACTATTATCGTTGATATTATTATTATCATTATTATTATTATTAATATTAATATTATTATTATTAATACAATGGTATGAGAGGAACCTTCTGGCTTTCTGCTTAACTAGTGCACAGAGTGCACTGTGTGCTAGCCAACTGTCAGCTACTGCATGCACAACACATTCGAAATGCTAAACATATGCATTTACAAAATTTATAAATTTAGTTTGACTTGGCAGAAGTGCTTTGTTTGAAACCAGGCCATGCTACTGCCAATGTATTGTGACAGACCTGTCAACTACAATAGCCATGTCAAACTAAATACAAGTTGCCTCGGTTTTAAAGTCTGCTACTGCTGTCCTGCCATAGAATTTAATTCCTGATTTTAGTGAAATTTAGTGTCAAACGAGCCCAACACATTGTTTAAACCCACCTTTTATACTAAATACAAGTTGCCACCCCGATGATGAATGCTTTTAAACATTGCACCACTGATGTGCTAACATCAAATTTAATTCCTTAATTAATTTCATCACAGCAGTAGCACAACTTTGAAACAAACCCAAGACATTGCATAAACCCCCCTTAAATAGAGTTTAATATTTTTTTTCTTAATTTTCAGCTTGATCAATGGTATTGTGCATGTGTAGTAATGACACCATACAAAATACGTAGTTAAATATTATTATTATTGTTACATTCAAACCACGCTGGCTGGATTTTCTGAGTTTTCTCCAATAAATTTTAAACAGAAACAGTGCTATTAAAAAGACTTAAAAGGTATTAAAATAAACTTACGATGCCTGTTTATGCTCTCCAACAAATCCATACCGGTCAACTGCTGGACCAAACGTTTGAGGGTTATATTCGTCCGGGTCGATACGTGTTATTCCATTTAACTGCACACTACTCGGTTCGTAAAACTCCATGTTCCCTTACTAGAGACAAACCAACTCTTAGCTTAAAATACTTGGTTGTTTTCCCATCGCAGGCTTTTCCTCGTGTAAAACAAAACCAGCTTGCTGCTCAATACGAAAACATTTCCGGTAAATTTACAAAGTATGACCGATATAACAATCCGTTAGCTTTTGAGAGAGGCTGTGCTCATCTTCTGTGAAAACACAAACACTCTTGTGTCCTATTTTCGGGGAGTTTTTCCGTAAAAATTGTCCAGAGCCTTCACTTTGCAGTTGCAATACAACTTAAATGGCTGCCTTTCACTTTATTCGTCATATACTCTATTTGAAGTGTAAACACCACAGCCCCCTTCCCTCGGTCAAAGCACCTGGGAACGAGCAAACTGGCTTTTCCCTGTTAGTGCAGTGCGTTGCTGACAGTGAAGAGCGCCAGGAATTTGTTACTCTCTCATTCACCGATCAGCTAAACTTCTCAGCCATGTGTTTTAGATTTATAGGAAAGGACAGCCAAACCGCTTGGTTTCAACAGTTTTACACTGTTTTTAAAGTTTTCCTCTCCGATTTCAAGCCCCTTTATTTTTACTCTGTATCGGAATATATCTTGCGGCTCGCCATGGTAGATCATCAACATGAAGTTGACTGAAGTTTTATTCCCTTCCGTTTCCCTTTCGAACACCGGCTAAGCAGGCTATCATTTCACGCACTGATAGCTACTGATGACACTCACTGGTCGTAGTTCCCGTTTATTGTGAAACATTATTCCCTCTTGATCCAAAGGCACTGAATGGATTAGCACCACCATGTATATTACTGACCTTTTAGACATTTATATACCTCAGTGTAATCTTAGATCCTTAACCGATAAGAAATTAAAAATACCACATTATAATTTATGTTCGTATGGTTATAGATCATTTTTGGTATCTGCGCCATCTTTTTGGAACTCTTTACCAAAGGATATACAATTACGTGAGACTTAAGATTGTTTTAAAGAACAGTTGAAGACCTATCTTTTTCAACAGGCATATGCCGATCTTTTATAGTTATTAATAGTACTTCAATATTTAGAATAAGAACTTCTATTTTTCATGCTAGTGAAAAACTTGTAAATCTTGTCCAAGGTTTTATAATTTTCTTAATGTCACAGTTTCTTTAGCTACACTTTAAAAATTAACGTGTAATAAAACACGACAACAAAACATATGGTGTAATGGGGGGAACACCGCTCCATGATCGGCGTGGTGGACGACTTCCATAACGTGACCCTAAAGCCCTAGTTATCTCCCGGCGCTAATTTACGTGTGATGGATCAGACAAGTTCAGGTAGGTCCAAAGGAAACAAACTTAATACGGCCTACCACTCCATGGCACTATGAGCTGAAACCTCTGGCCAGCATCGTGCAACTTAATGGAAGAGTATAGGCAAATATTTTGTTCTAGGAACTTTATCTTATCAGCACTACAAGCTGACTCCGGCAGCATGTGCTGGAATACAATCAAATATAAAAGTTTGCATTAAAATCAAAGCTCAGGGAAGTCGCCGTGAGACTTAAACCAAAGGCAAAAGAAAGCAGTGAGCCTGTGTTTATTAGGAACAACAACAAAGCCTCCAAAGGGAGGGAATGGTGGGAATTACAAAACTTTAGGATGGTTGAAGTATTCCAACTTAGCAATACAGCTCGGAATGAGACACAGGACTTTTACTAGGCCTTTTATGGTCCGAATGCTATCCCGAGGAAAGCCAATTAAAAATACTGTACTACTGAACAGTACGTGCATCACGAGATGGCCATGAGGAAAATCTTTTTCACTAGCCATACAAAACGAGCAATACATTAGAAACTAGCCCCAACTGCAACAAAAACAAGGATTGCTATTGTATCAGTAATTTTCCAGCTATAAAAGTGATTTTACGTACTACCCAGTACTTTTACCCACTACGAGTAAAATTCTATGAGATTTGATAAGGACTATAGCATAACACTGCCTTACATGTTGCTGATTGAGGGCATCACGCTCCATTAACTGTGTTTTACAATTGAGTTGTAAAACTTTCTTTTACTATGAACACTGTGAAGCGGTTTTGAGCATTTATGGAAAAAGCACTACATAAATGACTATTATCGTTGATATTATTATTATCATTATTATTATTATTAATATTAATATTATTATTATTAATACAATGGTATGAGAGGAACCCTCTGGCTTTCTGCTTAACTAGTGCACAGAGTGCACTGTGTGCTAGCCAACTGTCAGCTACTGCATGCACAACACATTCGAAATGCTAAACATATGCATTTACAAAATTTATAAATTTAGTTTGACTTGGCAGAAGTGCTTTGTTTGAAACCAGGCCATGCTACTGCCAATGTATTGTGACAGACCTGTCAACTACAATAGCCATGTCAAACTAAATACAAGTTGCCTCGGTTTTAAAGTCTGCTACTGCTGTCCTGCCATAGAATTTAATTCCTGATTTTAGTGAAATTTAGTGTCAAACGAGCCCAACACATTGTTTAAACCCACCTTTTATACTAAATACAAGTTGCCACCCCGATGATGAATGCTTTTAAACATTGCACCACTGATGTGCTAACATCAAATTTAATTCCTTAATTAATTTCATCACAGCAGTAGCACAACTTTGAAACAAACCCAAGACATTGCATAAACCCCCCTTAAATAGAGTTTAATATTTTTTTTCTTAATTTTCAGCTTGATCAATGGTATTGTGCATGTGTAGTAATGACACCATACAAAATACGTAGTTAAATATTATTATTATTGTTACATTCAAACCACGCTGGCTGGATTTTCTGAGTTTTCTCCAATAAATTTTAAACAGAAACAGTGCTATTAAAAAGACTTAAAAGGTATTAAAATAAACTTACGATGCCTGTTTATGCTCTCCAACAAATCCATACCGGTCAACTGCTGGACCAAACGTTTGAGGGTTATATTCGTCCGGGTCGATACGTGTTATTCCATTTAACTGCACACTACTCGGTTCGTAAAACTCCATGTTCCCTTACTAGAGACAAACCAACTCTTAGCTTAAAATACTTGGTTGTTTTCCCATCGCAGGCTTTTCCTCGTGTAAAACAAAACCAGCTTGCTGCTCAATACGAAAACATTTCCGGTAAATTTACAAAGTATGACCGATATAACAATCCGTTAGCTTTTGAGAGAGGCTGTGCTCATCTTCTGTGAAAACACAAACACTCTTGTGTCCTATTTTCGGGGAGTTTTTCCGTAAAAATTGTCCAGAGCCTTCACTTTGCAGTTGCAATACAACTTAAATGGCTGCCTTTCACTTTATTCGTCATATACTCTATTTGAAGTGTAAACACCACAGCCCCCTTCCCTCGGTCAAAGCACCTGGGAACGAGCAAACTGGCTTTTCCCTGTTAGTGCAGTGCGTTGCTGACAGTGAAGAGCGCCAGGAATTTGTTACTCTCTCATTCACCGATCAGCTAAACTTCTCAGCCATGTGTTTTAGATTTATAGGAAAGGACAGCCAAACCGCTTGGTTTCAACAGTTTTACACTGTTTTTAAAGTTTTCCTCTCCGATTTCAAGCCCCTTTATTTTTACTCTGTATCGGAATATATCTTGCGGCTCGCCATGGTAGATCATCAACATGAAGTTGACTGAAGTTTTATTCCCTTCCGTTTCCCTTTCGAACACCGGCTAAGCAGGCTATCATTTCACGCACTGATAGCTACTGATGACACTCACTGGTCGTAGTTCCCGTTTATTGTGAAACATTATTCCCTCTTGATCCTAAGTATACTAATTATATCATTATTGCTATTGTTAGACCTTGTTATTATTATTATTATTTCTAAGTGGAAGGCACAGACGACGAAGTCAATGTTAAAAATATATATTTTATTTCTACTTTCACCAGAAATATCTTTAAGAGGCAACGATGTGCAATCTCTACATTCATTACGATGAAATAGAAGATTTTCTTAAGACTCTGTACAGAGTTCCCCAAGAAAAAATGCCTAGAAGATAAAAATATTTCGAGATGGAAAAAAATACCCTTAGTCTTTTTTAAAAGCAACATTTGTGATAAGGGTTTGAGAGTGCAAATAACAAAAAGAAAATTTCGCACATATTTTTACCGTTCATTCTTAGCTGAAACGTTATAAAAACAATTCAAATAGAGCTTTAAAGGTAATCAATGAAAAAAGTCTTAAAATTCTGTTGATCTCATTCAGTCGAACTCAAAGAAATCAGGATAGAACCCAAAATCTTCGCCATCATCATACATGTCAATAACGTGAGCATTTGCCTGAGCTACTGCTGAGGACTGGGCTTCTCTGTTTTGTAACACTTGTGCTCTCATAGGTTGGACTCCACCTTGAACATTGACGGATGCAAAGACCAGTTCGTCAAGATCGTAACCTGGAGAAAAAAGGAAAATTATGCGTGATCTTCTTGGGCTTTGTACATCACAGAAAAACCGGTTCCTCTGCAAATGGGGCCATGCTTGAACATGCTCATACGACTGTGCGCATGTGCAAGTTGCTAGCCTATCACAGAGTTTGGTAGCGTGTCCTTGCTAAAGGAACTATCTAAACGAAATTGCTTGAGATACCATCAGACATTAATTATTTATTATATGTCTCTGGATCATATTACTCTTCCCCCAAAATTGGGTATCCTTCTACTAGCTGCAGGTAACGGGCTAAAGGTCGTTAAGAAAGATAATAGTCGCGGGCGATTATTTCAGATATTGCTCAGTGGAAGTCGTGCCCTAAATATTTTTTTTTTTTTTTTTAAACACATTCAAAATCAAAAAGTAGTCAAATCAAATAAACTGAACATGGGCTTTTTAAAAGTGTTCCAAATTTGGTTCCCAGTTAATTTTCAACATCCTCGGCGTCAGAGCTTGAATCGTCACTGATCGGTTTTGCTGGACTCTACTTCAGCTTTAACCTCCAAATTTACCGCTATGGGTATCCCTGCAGATAAGATGGCCAGAGGCTCGGGCGGGGGCAA